GTATAGTTGCCAAATGTTGAAGATAGTGATGAAGTCTTAAAAACAATGCAAACTTATATCACACCGGTTGTGTTTTATCCATGTACCTCTAATGTACCTATGTTATTTCTATGCTATTTGTATACTTTTGGAGATATATTTGTGTAGTCAATATTTATTCTATAGAAGCAGTATTTTGATAATGCATTATTGCATTGTGATCTCTTGTTGATGATAATAAAATTGCTAATGTATTGCACAACAATATAGTTATAAGTTATCCTCCATTGTTTAAATTTATAATTCCGTCGAAATTCGAACTTGAAATATCCCTAAAAAAAACTGTGTACATATTTTTTTTTCAGATTTTTTGGTTACAACATGGAATACTTGCGAGTTATCAGTTATGATACTCTGTTTTAATATTAAAATATTCAATCATTAGTTATAAAGTATAAAACAAAACTAGAATAAAATATAACTAAAACATAATTTTAACATTTTCGTGATTTTGTCAAAAATTGACTTTTAAATGGTTATAAAAAAATATCGTACTTATCTTAAATATTTATGGAGCACATAGGCGGATATTTGGTCACATCCGTGGGGCGGTGTAACATTTTTGTCTTATCCATTAGCGTAAACATACATTTTTTTAAACGCTTCAACATACTAACTAGTGGCTACTCAGTATTCCTACTTTATTATAGCAGAGACACCTATCACATTTTATTGAACCGTTAAATTAAAAAATTTGTCATACAACCCGGCAATACTATATTAATATAACAAATATTATATAATTAGTGACTTACTCAATGATGAGATACTCAGATACACTCGACACCCACTGTCCTACTGGTAATACTGTACAGCAAAGTGGTTTCCCACATTTTTAATTTATAATTCTAGAATTTTTAAACAATAGTTTATTATATTATATTAGTAAGTACATATGTAATGAAAATAATATAGGGATATTTTTAAAATAATATGCAATTAATTTTTTGGTAAATTTTACACTTACATAAATAGTGTTTTCATAGTTAATAATTTGTTTGTGTTTATTTAATTTTCAATTTGCCTCCTGTTTTTTAATATTTAAATTATAAATATTAGTACATCTCATGAATAAGGCGCTTACAGCCAAATTTATGGAAAACTTAGTTTTAAAAAGATTGGACATTTGGTTGTGATTACAGAATAACAAAATTATATGTTAATTTATGCAAATTAAGTTTAAAAAGATATTTGGCACAAAAATAGAAAAATAAATTATAAATGTTAAGTTAACTTTATAGTTAGGTACCTACTACCTACTTACCTAATACTAAATTGGTATGAATCCCGATTAGTATCAGCCCCGGCGTAAGACAATTTTTTGGGAGCCTTATAAAATTCCATTCATCTACTTACTTAGGAATATTAAATTTATTATTAATTGCAATTCAAATAAATCTTGAACTACCAACATAATCCATATAGTTAATTTAGTTATAAGTCATCGCACTGATTATGATTATACCGCTTATGATACTTTGATATCCATAAAATCAGAAGTCTTATATTATGACGAAATGCTGGGACCCAAAGCAATATACCGTTTACACAGGCACTGGGATTTAAAAAAGAGTGCTCATAGTTTAGAAATGTATAAAGACAATTTTAATTTTATAAAGTTATTATATAACACAGCATTATTTTCAAGTCACGGATTAGTTCAATTACTTTTTTACATTTGTTAATGTCAATAAAATATAAATAAAATAAATTAGGCTATTTTTGATTATTTAAATAATACTGTCACCAATAATGTAAAGTAAATAGTGTCTAAAAACTCTAAAAACAACTAAATAACAAACTTACTAGTTAATACTCATAGCTTTTATGACTTTTTAGACACAGCATATTATACATTATAAATTAATAAAAATGAAAAGTGGATGAATACAATATATTGCTAATATAAAATAAAACACCAAATATGATTTCAATTTTTATTTTTGAATCAAATTTTGTCAATACTTTCTAAATACTCCTTGTGTTGTGCTGCGTGAGTTGATTGAATTTTCTGTAACTTCTTGGTCAATCCTTTACTAATTTTGTTACCTTGACTGTCAATGGTTGGTAGACCCTATAAATAATTTAAAACAAAATATATGTACTAATCAGTAAATAATAAAAAAAAAATTATAATATTTGAAATATAAGAAATACAATAATTTACGTTTTCGTCAAATTCTGAATATTTGTCAGTTTCTAATTTAAACAAATCCTTAGGATGTATTTTTTTAAGTTCTTCTTTTTTTGCCCGTGCTTGATCTTGTTCTTTTTTCTTTTTTTCCTTTTCAGCAAGTTTATCTGCTTCTGCTTTAGCTTTTGCTTTTTTTTCACGTAAAATTGCTTCTCGTCCCACAAATTTAATGGCAGTAGGTTTTCCATCAGCATCTTCTAAACGAACTCCATTATCAGGCAGGGTTTCATCTCTGAGTTTATCACACAATATTAGTATATCTTTAGAACCTATTGAACGAGCAATAGCACGAACAGAGTCACGAAAATCTGATAAAATATTCAGGTATGGAGTGACAATAGTTTCAACCTAAAAACAGTATTGATTTATTATTAATTTTTATCTCTTTATATTTTACTATGTATGTACAATTATAGTCCAATAATAAATAATTCTATACTCCATTCACGTTTAGAAGGAAACTCGGCAGCAGACTTTTACGCAGTACTGAGGCATACAAATGGATGACTAATTGGCGGTAAACAAAAACTGGTTGCTGCTGAAGTATCTTAACGTGAATGGAATATAAACGAATAACAAATAAATATGAAACTTACATCGTTTGAAGAATTCCCTTCGCTTACTGGGAATCCAATTTCATCAGCTGTTTTAATGCCAAATACTTTCAATATCTCTGTGATGTACTTAGCTATGTCCAACAGTAAGGTATGATTTATAGCAGAAGAATTGCAGTCTCTTAAATATACATTACAGGCTGATATACATTCTCTGATTGCTTCTAATACTGCCTTTGTGTCAATATTATCTAAAAAAATTGTTGATTGATTGAAATAATTTTGTTTATTACTTAACAATTTACAATTAAAATTTACCACACAACGCTGCATGAACATTTAATTTACATAAACTAAACTTCTTGCTCAATTCTATTTCAGAAGCTAACCACTTGGAATATCCAATAGCTAATTTATCAACATCATTTCTTCTAGTTACATTTTTTACATTTAAAAAGAATTCCTACAAAAAATATTGAATATTTGTTACAAAAACCTCAACAATATGTTAATATAATCATATTAGACTAACATTGAGAAGTTTTTCACAAGCCATCGCTGACTCCATAGTGCTTTCGCTATAATCTAAAGTGTCCTTCCATGAATGTAACAAAAAGGCAAGTCTCAATTGTCTTGATGTATTATTTTTGAGAGCATCTTCAATAGTAATAAAGTTTTTCAGAGACTTTGACATTTTACATCCAGAAATTGTTAAATGACCCGAATGCAAAAAGTACCGAACCCATTCTTCATTGTTATAATAGGCCTGCAAGAGAAATAATTGTTGTATTAGTTAATTTTATAATAATAGATGTATTGATTTATACTAGTAATTACTTCAGCTTGAGCAATTTCATTATCGTGATGTGGAAATTTTAGATCAATGCCACCGGTATGAATATCTAATGTTTGGCCTAATATACAGGAAGCCATAACAGAGCATTCAATATGCCAGCCAGGTCTCCCTTTTCCCCAAGAAGAGTCCCACCACGGTTCACCTTTTTTTGATTTTTTCCAAAGCGCAAAATCGTTTGGAGAACGTTTTTCATTAACTGCACTAGTTGTTAAATCACCTAAAATATTATTATATTATATTTTTAGTTATTAAAGATATCATTTTCTAATAATATGTTAACAGTTTTTATTGTCTTATTAGAAGTGCATTTAGTTAGTATGACTACTGTTTACTATCTATTGTATTTAATGTAAGTTCTTTTTAAACAAAAATTAAAAATACAGAAAAAAATGGTTCAAACATAATTCAAATTTAAAATAACATAATATTAGACAAAAATATTTTAAAATTAGAATCTAAATTAACTTTTTAATATCATAATTTTTTATAATTTCTAAAAATATTATTAATTACCCTCTCCATCTTGAAGTGATTTTGAATCTCCATATGCTTCTGGAACTAACTTAGCATAATGGTGAATAGGTTTAGAATCAAATGCGGCAACATCAAAATATACTGAACCATTAGATTCATAAGCATAACCATTTTTTATTATTGTTTCTATGTAAGCTATGGTTTCAGGAATATACTCACTCACCCTAGAAAGTTTATCCGGTGGTAAGATCTGTTAATTAAAAAATAACAAACATACTCTGTAAGTCTTGATATTAATATTTAATTTAGAAATAATTATTATACTCAACATTTAAAGAAGTCATATTTGAGTGGAAATTTGATTCCCAGAATCTTGGTAGAGATTCAAATATACTGTTATCAGGAACATCTTCACTATTTAATGTGTCTAAATATGCACCTAATGGATCTTTGATTTCATTTAAGGCCAACTAAAATAAAACTTTGTTTAGAATTCTTTAAAATGGAAAAAATGATTAATTTTAACATACTTTTGTATCATCCAACGATAATCCCTCAATTAGTTGAGAAATAGAGGTCAATTTCTCTATAGCTTTTAATGTCATAACTTTTTTGTCAGGGTCCATCTGTTCAACGTCTTTTTTTAGGTCACCTAGAGCCAGAATAATATCTTTTTGCACAATTTGTTTATCGGTAGCTGTCTTTACATACTCTTCAAACAAATGTAATTGTCGTGCTCGTTTGATTATTTTGTCATCGATATCTGTGATATTCATGACATATTCAACGTCATAATGAAAGTAATCCTTCAATACTCTACGTAGTATATCAAACGTAATGTAACTCCTAAAAAGTAAGAAACATAATGAATTCCTTAAAAAAATATATTAGACAACATGTGTACTTACCGTGCATGTCCCATGTGTGAAGCGTCATACACTGTAGGCCCACAGCTATACCAATGCACTTTATTCCCATTTTTTGGTATGAATATTTCTTTCTTTCTCGTCAAGCTGTTGAATAACTTTAAGTGAGGTGTATCAGACATCTTGCCACAAGACCATGTTGGTTGACTTCGTTTTGCCATTATGATAGTATCTAAAATCAAAAAGAATATCCTGTTACTATTCTCTAGACGAGATCAAACAAAAATGTAATAATGTACACTGAACTATTGTTTAATACTTGTTTGTGTTTGTGCATATTTATCACAAATACACGTTGCCACAACAGTAAACAAATATTGTTTCTAAACACGTCGAAGCCACATAATCAATATTAGGTTTTGAAGTAGGCAGTGAAATGATAAACAAGAAAGTACTTACGTAAGCACGTATCAATCAAAATTGTGTAGTCCACACAGTTGTAGTAGACTATGATTTTATAGTGTTATTACTAAATTGCTTAAGCACGAGTTTCAAACGTACGTACACTTGAGTTTCATTTAAATTACTGCAAGGCGCATAAAATTGTCAAATACTATATAACAGTATATAATACTCACCGAGGTCCACAGCAGGATTTCAAGTCAGATCAATTACAAATCACAATTTACAAATGTCAAATCCACATTCAAACGAATCGTGTGCATAATTTATCATCGGAAAGACCGAACGCCGCACGGTGATCGGCCCATGGGATGATGATAATATCAAAATGATAACACTAATCGCGTCTTATCATTCTGCCGCGTTGACAGATTGGCATTTTTTATTCCCTTATCAGATACAAAAATAAAAAATAACTAATGTAGTTAATATTATGCTTACGGCTTACCTATTATCTGTAACTTGAAAGTTGCAACTTCAAACTTGGCACTTGCAAGTGAATGAGGCATATTATGACGTGATTTATGAATTGTGTTTGAAAAACTTCTGAAAATTTGATTTCAAACGGTTCCTTTGGAATTCATCAACGCGTTGTTGGATTAATTAAACTGTCACTAAAGGTAATTTCGATTATTTATTATTCCGCTGTCTATCGTTATTGTCTAATGTTATTGTCTAACTTTCATTAAGAAGTAGCTGTTTTGATAAGGTTCATTCGATAAATTTAATTTTAATTTGTTCATTATATAATTAAAATTAATTATCTTAAGCAAGTGGTTGAGTATTTAAATTTATAAATATGATAAATTATCATTGGTATTTGGTAATGTCTCAAGCTTGTCACTAGATAGTTAAAAGGTTGGAAATGAGTACCTATTAAGTTAAATTTGTTGGTAACTTCAAACTGGACTAGTTAGTAGTTATTGTATTTCTACTCTCAGAAAAATAACAAATATTTCAATTGTTGGATAGTACTCTTACACGATTGATTTGGAATATACATAATTAGCATTAAAATTCTTTTTTCAAATAATATCTAAGATCTAAAATTTTATATTTCAAAAATGCATTAAACGACAATAAGAATCTGGGTATATACTTTCAAATAATAACAATTAAAATCATGACAGGTTGAATTTTTTGTTATTTATAAAAACTAAATAATTTAGAGAAAACCGACTTAGCAACTTTTATACAACTGAGTTAAGTATTATTGAATTGACTAACTTTCATTTTGAACAGTTAGTTTATGTTGGATCATTATTTATAACAAAATATGAAGTCTGTGCATACCTATATAAATCAAAACAGTATGTCTTATGATGGGTTGAATAACTACCAAGAATATTCAGTGGCAAATCCAGGAGGAGGGCATAGGGCCCCCTCTTTCACCGTAGTTTTCCTTTGTTTTTCACTGTGTTTAGCCCATTTTGTAGCCAAATTTGGAACTTTTTTACTTTTGCCCCCCCCATGCCCCTCCCAAAATTAAGCCCTGGATCCGCCACTGATAATATTAGGTACAGTTATTAATATCAAATATCTATCTAATTCATAAAAATTATTGTTTGTTTGTTCTATTTCTATAACACAATAATTACTTGATAATTTTCATTGAAAGTTATATCAATAGATTCTTTGGACTCAGTGAGGGTTTGTATCTTCGTCTTTCAACCTATAAAGGTCGCCATAAGGTAGCTCGCTCATGAATTTTTTTTTGGCTCTCAAAAACCGAATATTTTTTTTGCTTATGTTATAGTTGCCATTGGATACAGTCTACAGATAATACATTAGTTATTTATGGATATAGCTATTAGATATTATTAAGTTCAGTGGCATATCCAGGGGGGTAGTTAGGAGATAGTCAAAATGAATTAAAACCCCTCCAAAAAAAAAAATTCTGGATATGCCACTGATATAGTTATTGGATAACATTTTCTGTATTATACATTTATACAGGGTCTCACCTAAGGTGAGCTACTAAGAAAATCTCGGTGGGCCGCTTCAAGTTTGGGCCGGTCGTGTGAGTTTGGGTGAAAATAAATTCATGTTTAAAATACGATTGACCACCTATAAGCTCGTAATAATTAAAGACTTAATTTTGTCGATGAGCTGATACATACCAATCCGGCCCTGGTATTATATTACATTTTGTTATAAGCTAATAGTTATTCTATATAAATGTAAAATTAAGTAACAGCTATTGTAATATAATTGTATATTATATATTGAAATGGTTAAGGTTTATAAACTAAAAAGAAATCACCTCACATATTTAATGTATAAAAGGTAAAGCGTTTATTATGAGGCTTATAATATCAAAATACTCAACTGATTTTGACGATTCAAGGAAGCTCTATATGTATAATACTGAGCCAGTTATTTTAAGGTGGCTTACCCACTATTAATCATTTTTTAATCATAACCTTGTACCATATATTTATTTTATTTATTTATGCTTGCAATTGGTTACAAGTAAGAAAAAAAAATACCAAGTACTATAGCCCATATCAGTTAAATTTATCCCCAGATTATTATACAGCCAGTATTTTATAAATTTTGTTGTCAAATTTTATGCTATTACTTCATTTATTTTGTACATTCTGAACTGAAATTAATAATTCTATTTTAAATTGTGTTTCAGATATTCTACATTTGTTTTTGGTTGGAGGATTAATATGAAAATGGTACCTATGACTGGCTTAATTTTGAATGAACACGAAGGCGAAGTTCATGACGCTGAACTAGATTATTATGGTCAACGTTTAGCTACATGCTCTAGTGATAAAACAATCAAAATTTATAGTATAAACAATGGTAACAAAACTTTATTGGCAAACATCAAGGGTCATCACGGACCTGTGTGGCAAATTTGTTGGTCCCATCCAGTATCCGGACATTTATTAGCCTCTTGTTCTTACGATAAACGTGTTGTTGTATGGAAAGAATCAAATGATTGGTTTAATATATTTGAATTTACTCATGAATCTTCAGTCAATGCTGTTGCATGGGCACCCCATCAACATGGCACAATTTTAGCGAGTGCGAGTTCAGATGGGTCTGTTGGAGTGCATGTGTTCAACAAAGAATGGTCTTCTAAGTCATTTAGTGCCCACCATAATGGATGTAATACTGTAGCTTGGGCTCCATACAAAGAATTACTATTTGGATCTGATCAAACAGACTTTGGTAAAAAGTTAGTATTAGCAAGTGGTGGCTGCGATAATTTAGTGAAAATATGGACTGTTGAAAATGATCAATGGGTACAAGTTGGTGAAATAAATTGTCACACAGATTGGGTTCGTGATGTGGCTTGGACGTGTACTATTGGTGATAATCGACAATTAATTGCAAGTTGTTCTGAAGATAAGACTGTTGTAGTGTCACATAGCGATGATTATTCCAAATGGTCTTCTGTACGAATGCATTTGTTTGATAGCCGTGTTTGGACTGTAAGCTGGTCAAAAATCGGGAATGTACTTGCAGTATCTGCTGAAACCAATAAAGTATCATTATGGAAAGAGAATACAATCGGTCATTGGATCAGTTGCAGTGATATTGATGATACAAAAGGAGGGGAAGATTAAATGTTTATTTTACTATTTTTACTTTTAAATGTTTTGAAATATTTTGTAATAAAAATGTTGTACAAAAAATTTGCTATATGGGAATTAATTTATCGAATATTAGGTATTGTTTTTTGTCACTGAAAAAAAATAAACGTAATTGTAATTATGGAATATAAAGTTTTGTCCTTTTTAATATTGTCTGTGGATGTTTAATTAGATTCAAATGTAATATAATATGATTTAGATGTATTAAGTGTATGTGCTCGTATAAATTTATAATTCAATATAATAAATAATAATCAACCATTGGCGTGTTGACTGGTTATTAGGAACGGTTGTCATATTTTTGTTGTTGTATATATTTAATTATTAATGTGAATATGGATGGGATTGGTATAAGTTATGGTTATGATAGTATTTCTAGACATTTTTTTCACAAAGTTGTTAAACCGCATACCACTGTAAATAATAAGTGATGTAGCCTATGGAAAATACAAATCCCCAAATTTAAAAAATAAAAAAAATATTTATAGTATCAAAAATTCTATGAAAAATAATTTTTGTATTTCCAATAATATGGTTTATTGAACGGTTTGACAGTAAAACACCTATTATCAATATTTTAGAAGGAAAGTTAATCGGTGACTGTTTAGAAGTAAATTGTTGATATTTTAATTACAATGAGTTATTAAAAAGTTCATTAACAATTAGTTATCATTAATTAAGTTTTTTTTTTTAAAACTTTAATGTCAAATGATTTATAAAATATTTTGTGTAGGATTATAGGAATGAGAGCGAAGCATTTATGTGAATGTATAGACAAATGTCAATATGACATAATATTAGCTTTTTTTGTTGGTGTGCCGTGTTACCGGTGATTTAGGTACCTAATAATAATTTAATATTGATATATTTTGTTTTGTGTTGAGTTTCAATTATTAGGTATATTAACAGTGGGTCGTATAGGCAGTTGTCCGAAAAATATTATTTTATATATTTTCAGATAAAATATTTTTAGTGTATTTTACTTTCGTATTTAATAATATTCGGATAAAATACGTTTCTATTACAACATTTTTCAGCTAAAATAATTTTCGTAAATTTATTTTTGGATAATACATTTTCGGCAATAATATAGCCCCTCGTGTTTTTTAATACTAACATTTATTTTAATTAAGTAGGTACATTACATTACATATATTACATTATTATATTATATTACATTACGAATACATATTATGAAATAATATAGTATAACGATTAACGAATTTGTTTTTCTTATTTGTTTTATTATTTTGAAAACCAAAAAATTAAATATTTCTTACGTGAGTTATAAGAATATTTAAAATACATTTAAAATGAATAACAATATTGAGGCGCAGCGTTTCAGCGCTTACTATAAAACTTGGTTGATAATTATAATAAGTTATTTGATAGAAATTCGTGTTTAAAATTAGAAATCCAACATTCTCAACTAAACGTAAGAAGAAAACAAAAAATTATTTGAATTGAGAAAAAAGCGGTAACATTATTGGATAACTAAAATCGAATGTTTAAATAATACATGTATAAGCTATATAAGGATTGAAAATTTGAAACAAGGTTGCACTTAATTATATAGTTAATTCTGTAACCAAACAATCTCAAAAATATAAAAACAGTTTTTTTAATAGAATTTTATGTTCAAATTTGGAGGGAATTACATATCAAATTACCAAGAATAACGATTTTAGTTATTTTGTTGTAGATTCAGATCAAATATTTAAGACAATTTGTTTAACCGGATCAGACCAATTCCTGAAATATATTTTTTTAACCCAGACCAATTTGAACCAAGCTCACAAACTTTTTATAACGCGGGTAAGAAAACAACAGTAAAAAAAGAACAATTTGTAAAAATTGTAAGTTACTTTTAAAAAGTAATTAAGTTACTTTACTCGTTACTAAGAGATAAATATAATTAAGTTACATTACTCGTTAGGTACTCAAATAAAATTGTAATGAAATTACTTTACTTTTCAAATAGAAAATTAACTCATTAGGTACTTTCTCGTTACAAGAATAAAATTTTTTTTTTAATTTCTTTGCAATTATCTTCTGCAGGCAAACTCAACAAACAAATTCTTTATAAAACCTGTATAGTTAATATGATCATATAAAATGTAGTCTTCCACACAAGCTATATTCATAGGAAACCTATTTAAATGAATCACATTTAATAATGAATTTAATTGACTGTTCTCGTGATTTACGGTGCAATTAGACATTTCAAATGTCAAAAACTCAAAACCATTTAAAAACTGAATTGTTCCGAGTTAAAATTAAACATATATACATATTAGATTGGTAAACATAATAATATCCGCATTATACATATATTTTTTTTCAATTCGCAATAGGTAGGTAGTTACTTAATAATTTGATACTGTAACGCGTTATTCTATAGAAATTACTTTTCAAAAGTAATTTCAGATTTCCATTACATTTTCGTTACTTGGAAATAATTCTAATGAAATTACGTAACGCATTACAAGCAAAGTAACGCGTTACTTTCGTTACATTAATACCCAACACTGTTAATATACCTAAAAATTATTATCAGGTACCTAAATTACCGGTAACACTGCAAACCTACAAAAATGCTAATATTATGTCAAATTGACATTTGTCTATACATTCACATAAATGCTTCGTTCTCATTCGTATAATCCTATACAAAATACTTTATAAATCATTTGACATATTATAGAGATTAAAAAGTTTAAAAAAAAAATAGGCCATGCAACCTTATCACACAGGAATTAATTTGAAAAATATTTGAGGTTATAAAAGGCAATAGATAGATAATAATTATCTTAAGCCGTTATCACAGAATAAATTAAATTACAAACATGAAATATTTATAATTTATTACAGTCAACCACGAATTAAGATTTAAGATATTATACTATTATTATAGTTTTATACTATATCTAAATTCTAAATATCTTAATGCGTGCAGTGTACAGACTATAAATTACGTAGGCACGTAAGGACGTAGGCACTTAGCTTGAATTAAGATGTAAGTATATCTTAATTCGTGGGACGAAGGCACCACTAATCGATTTTAAATGTATTTTACTTTTAGTTAGTCGCTTTGTCATTGGAATTTATGTTTAGGAGTAAAGTATGTCGTCTATCATATGCACTAAACTAAACACATTGTAATATTAATATGTATACAGTTCAGTCGTTCACTGTTCAGTGGTCATAGTATACAACGTATCAAATATTTATTCACACAATATGTTTATTGTTTATAATTCTATATTTCTATTAGATTGATAACTAAATAATGATAGTGGCTATGTTATATTCATGTATTATGTTAAATCATAAATAAAAATACTTATTTAAATAACTTAGAAATGATTTATCTAGGTACCTAACTGTTGATGACAGTATTATTTTATAAGATATGGTTGAAATAAGACCCAAAGAGTATTGGCCGATTGTCTATAGAAAAGAGTACAATGTTACATTTTTTGGTCTTGAAAATTTACATCCATTTGATTCGAAAAAATGGGCACACATTTACAAAGTAAGCAACTGAGAATCAATCTCATACAGTATATAAACTGAAACAGGTGAAATACCTGACTTAAACCGTAATTCGGTATTATCTTTATTGCTTTTAATTTTCAAAAGAAAACAATATAATAATATATTGTTTAATAGCTAATTTTGAATTGTAGTCTGTAGTCAATTTAGCAGATGATTAGATAGTTATTGAGTATCAGTTCAGTACTTAAAATATTTTTAAGAGTAATTTACTTTGTAAATGTATAAAAGTTTATAAATGATAATTTTCTCTACATTTTCTCTTAAGGTTTTTAACACTTGTTTGGTAGCTTATGTATTTTTTTTAACTAATTTTATTATTGTTATGTAATTTTTTTACAAATTTATATTTACTAAAACTATAAGATAATCAATTTTATCCAAGGATTAAAATATAAAGTATTATATAAGATATTATATCTTAGTCTGTGATTTATTTCATTAGAATAACTAAAATACCTAATTAATACCTTTATATATTTATCAACTTATTCATCAAAATTTGTTTAGATATTAAAAAATACTTTGGGCTTAAATGAAAGTAACATCTATGTTCCTGATGAAATTACTGATGATGAACTGCTTACAATTCATGATGAAAAATATCTTAAAAGTTTGAAAGTAAATAGCTACCTTAAGTAAATAGTACATAGGCACAATTAGCCCCCCCCCCCCTCAAGAATAATGTCCCTAATTGTGCCTATGCTAATGGAATATAAATTCTTTAATGAAAATAATATTTTTTTTAATATGTATATAAAAAATAATCTATACTTATTTAATTAACAGTGGAGTTATGTTGCTGCACGTATATCAGAAATTCCAGTGGTTGCCTTATTTCCTAATTTTTTGGTTCAAAGACAATATTTAAGGCCCATTAGGTAAACAAACTAAGATTCAATCAATTTGATCATTATTATTTCTAGATTTTTTAGATTTCAGGTTGGAGGTACAAGGTTAGCTGGAAAAATAGCTCGGAAGGAAGGAGTTGCCGTTAATTTAGGAGGAGGTTTTCATCATTGTAGTAAAAATCGTGGTGGAGGATTTTGTCCATATGCTGATATATCATTGATTGTGAACGATGCGTTACAAGAAAATGACTGTAAACTGGTGATGATTATTGATTTAGATGCTCACCAGGTTAGCGAAAACATTAAAAAAAGAACCATTATTCTTGTTTTAAAAAATATAATACATTTTTTATTTTTCAAAGGGTAATGGATACGAGAGAGATTTTATTGGGAACTCAAAAGTATTTATTATTGATGTATTTAATAAAAATATATACCCAAAAGATACATATGCAGAAACTGCCATTTCAAAGGCTGTGAAACTAGATTACTTTATACAAGATTATGAATATTTAACCACTGTTGAAAGGTAAAAACCTAAAAGTCTAAAAGCTAATAAAACAAAATTCAATTAAAAATATATTAAGATCTTAAATAAATGAATTTAACTAATTTAAGTATTACATTTAAAATAAATTGTTCTATCAGCGTTATAAGCACAATAAACTGTACCTATAGTGTTTTATTAGTAGGTACCTAAATACCTAATGTAATTTACTAAACATGAAATTATTAATGTATGCATATAAACAACATTTTTATTTTGTACATTTTTCATACTACACTCTTACCCCTTCCTACATCTAATATTCATATAAAAATAGTTTGCACCTGTGTCATTTTGCAATTTACATCTGTTTTGATATGTTTATAACCTTGTTACTCTTAACCCTGCATGGTCTGCTTATAAGTATAACATATATTATGTAGGTATATTGTATATCATTATTACCAATAGTTATATTTTACAATAAACATTCAAATTTAGAATTTAAATTGCACTTTAAAATTATTGAAATTAATTAGTAATAGATACAGATGCATAAGAATAATACAAATTGGTAATTACTATAATATTATTGTGCAGTTGATTAAACTAACCTAATAACCAGCCACCAGATATGTAGGTATTATTTAAATGTCTATGTATATGTTTTATATGAATTATTATTGGCAGTAAAAATCCTAGTTTATTTATTGAAATAAATACCTAATTAATTATAATCTTATTATAACTATCTAGTAATAATTAGTAATAATAGAATTAGCTGAATAAACTACACTTTATTAGTTTAATGTTTTATTGCCGATATGATATTTTTATTAAAATCCATAATTTGTGATTTGTGATGACAATCATTGTGCACTATTCATTTTCAACTATTAATCATGTTAATCCTAATAATTAATTAAATATATAGATTTCAACAATTCATACTTATTTTTAGTGCTTTGATTGAATCACTCTTGAAAGTTAAACCCGACTTCATAATTTATAATGCGGGCACAGACATTTTAAAAGGAGATAAGTTGGGGTTGCTCTCTATTACTCCAGAGGCAAGTTTTAATTTGATTTTGTTATAAAACTAGTTATTTCAATGATAATATTAGACTAAGTTACACAACTTACTGTATTCATTGTGTTATTAGCAGGGCTCGGGACTTAAAGCATTTGCTTATTTTTTTAGATTGACATAAAATGTAGCAGAGTACTATAGAAGTGTATATCATGTTACAACACATTCAATTATGAAATTTGAGAGTGCTTTTTTTTGCTTTTTTCAGTGATTTTTAAAAAAAATGCTTATTTCAAGTTTTTATGATATTTATTGCTTTTTTGACCAGTTTTCATACTTTTTTATGGTTTTCTACTGCAAAGTTGTTTTTGATAGAATTAAAATTAAAAATAATTTAAATAAAAAATTAATTAAAATTAATTAAAAAATTATTTTTTTTCAACTATTTGTAAATATTGTTTACATTTTATTTTTCAGAAAATCCCTTGGAAAATCCATAAAATCTTCAGTCCTGAAAATGAAGTTTAATTTTTTTTATAATATAAAAATAAATTTTTATTTTTATTTTATTGTTTTTTTTTTTAATAAATATTTTTGCTTAAATTTAAGTTTTAGATTCTGAGCGGAGCGATGAATGTATTGGTTTTACAATGATGTATGTTTTAGATTCTGAGCGGAGCGATGAATGTATTGGTTTTACAATGATGTATGTTTTTATATTTTTATATTTTTATTTATATTTTTATTTATATTTTTATTTATATTTTTGTGTCTGTCATCACGTTTTGGGACAGTAAAAGTGCTTCGATTTTCTTCAATAGTACCTTTTCTGATAGGAAAGTGAATCTAGTTGGTACTTTGGGGTTACAAAAGTAAACATTTTCCAGTAGTTTTCACAAGCGCCGGGAAAAACAACATAAAAATTAAGGAAAAACGGGAATTTTTAAGCAAAATCGATTTTCCAAAAAATCGAATTTGGTTATTGGTGTAACTTTAAAACAAATGACCGTAGATACATGAAATTTTCACTGGTTGTTTATATTTGCATTTTCTATACACGATAACATTTTCAAAATATTTTGATTTATTTTGAACTGTTTAGGGACATTTTCATTTTTCATTTTATTTTAGTTTTTTTTCTAGAAATATCAATAAAATTTTATTTGTTGGTTGCGAAAGCTTGAAAATTTAATAGAAGGCTCCTAATATGTTGTTTCAAAGGCAGATGAAAAATATTAAAAATCCTTAGTCACAATTTTTTTTTATAAGCATTTAAAGTTCAAAAATTGACAAAATATGGAAAAATCACGAAAATTAGCAAATTATTTTGAGTTAAGAATTCGTAAAAATTTTTCTTTTTAAATCTAAGATTTGAAAATGAAACACAAGATTCCTTATAAGATTATCTACCTTTATCAATAAAAAAATCTCTACCGGACAGTCAAATTAAATTTTTATGAGCGTTTGAAATTCAAATTTTTACAACATTGGATTTTCACTCGATTTCTCATGTAGCGATTTCCTTATTTTGTTGTAATTCAAAAACGAATAACTGTGGATACATGAAAATTTCACTGAATTTTTATATTAGCATTTCATATACACCATACAATTTTGAAAATATTTTGACTCTTTTTGAGCTGTTTATGGACATTTACAGCTTTCAATTTTTTTTAGTTTTTTTTTCTATAAATATCAATAAAGTTTTATCTGTTGGGCCAAAAAGTGTAAAAATTTAATACAAGGCTCCTGATATATTGTTACAATATCAGTTGAAAAATATTAAAAATACATAGGCACGATTTTTTTTTATAAGCATTTAAAGTTGGAATTTTGACAAAATTTATCAAAATCTCGAAAATTATCAATCGTTGGAATTAAAAAATTATAAAATGTTCAGTTTTTATAACTAAGAGTTGAAAATTTAAAACAAAGATTCTCTTAAATAATTCATACTGTAACCAAAAAATCTAAAAAATATATAAACACACTTATTTTTTACAGACATTTTAATTTCAAATTTAGACAAAATTTCATATTTAAACCAAGAATTACGATTTTAGTTATTTTGTTGTGATTGAATAATACTATTCGTGGGTACTTGAAACTTCTAAAGTGTACTATTATATATCTATGATAGTATCACGGTTTTTGTTGATGTATAACGCGTTATAAGTATCTAATGGATATTGTGATATGATTAATTTGGAATTTATTATAGGTACCTATTATAGGTAAATTTTTTGTTTAATACCATAGATATGTATATAATATGCCTTATACATAGACTGACATACCATGACCGCTCAGAATCGTTTTTCTTATACAATGATATTATATCATTAAATTCAAATTTAATACCATCCATTATACAGTGACCCACTTGTAACCTACTGTACAGCAGAGCGACACCCACTTGCCCACCTTTTTTATTATTTATTTTAACGTAATTTATTATCGTGCTTTAAGTAAGTTTATACATGTACAATTATTCATTTTTGTACCTACTATTACATCATGTTATTTAATAACAATACACTAAACATTGTTTTTCATTAGGACCATTCGGTAACTAATCAAATAATATATTTAATTAAATAATAGTTATTGTATATAATATTATTAAAACTTTTGAAAACCATGTTAAATAGAAATAAAAGTATAAATAAAAGAATAGGTATAGAGTCTGTAATTCTATATTATGTTTCGTATATAGATAGTATAAGTACCTACCTACCTAATTATTTATTTAACTATTATTAATACGCCAGTACCTATCTGGCTATCTAAGTTGAATAAATAGGTATGTCCTATGGGCCAAGGCATTGTATTTTAAAATGGCATTGTGTGTATAAAAACTATAAAAAAAAAAAGGTGGGCAAGTGGGTGTCACTCTGCTCTACAGTAGGTTACAAGTGGGTCACTGTAATGGATGGTGTTAAATTTTAATTCAATGATAATTGATATTATAATTTCCCGATGGGCAGGTCGAATAATCGAATTATGGGGCCAGACAATTTGGTTGTACGAGTAACTTTTTACGATTTTAAGATTATAATAATAATATTTAGTTTTTGGTCTATTTAAAATGTATAGAATAAAAAATAAATAATACGTCAATACGAAAAAAGGTGGGCAAGTGGGTGTCGCTCTGCTGTACAGTAGGTTACAAGTGGGTCACTGTATAATGGATGATATTAAATTTGAATTCAACGATATAATATCATTGTATAAGAAAAAAGATTCTGAGCGGAGACGGTATGTCAGTCTAGGTATAAGACATATTATATACATATCTATAATACTAAATCAACATTTTACCTATAATAGGTACCTACTACCTATAATGAATTCAAAATTAATCATATCACAATATGTCAATATCCATTAGGTACTTACTTATAACGCGTTATATACCAACAACAAACCCTGATACTATCATAGATATACAGTAGTATACTTTAGAAGTTTCAAGTACCCACGAAAAATATTAAACAATCACAACAAAATAACTAAAATAGTTATTCTAGGTTTTTTATTATGTAATTTCGTCCAAATTTGAATTTAAAATGTCTGTAAAAAATAACTGTGTTCATATATTTTTTAGATTTTTTGGTTAACGTATGAACTATTTATGAGAACTTTTGTTTTAAATTTGCAATCCTTAGCTATAAAAACTGAACATTTTATAATTTATTAATTACAATGATTGATCATTTTCAAGATTTTGATAAATTTTGTCAAAATTCGATCTTTAAATGCTTATAAAAAAAACTGTGCCTATGTATTTTTAATATTTTTCAACTGATATTGTAACAATATATCAGGAGCCTTGTATTTTTATACTTTTTGGCCCAACAGATAAAACTTTATTGATATTTATAGAAAAAAAAACTAAAAAAATTGAAAACTGAAAATGTCCGTAAACAGCTCAAAAAAGTCAAAATATTTTCAAAATTGTACAGTGTATAGAAAATGCTAATATGAATATTCAGTGAAATTTTCATGTATCTACAAATATTTGTTTTGGCTTGATTGTATATCTATGTATTATAATATAAAATATATAGATTTTATTGTAGATTATGAATCTACAGACAGCCTATACAGGTCTATAGCATATCGGCTATTGCATATAGTGTGTAGATTGTAGAACCTACACTCAGTACTCGTATAACATCGTTATCGACCAGTTCAAAATGTAAGTTTTAAAGTGTTGTAATTTATAAAAATGCCAAAAGTTAAAACAAATTTAAAAACGTTAAATGAAGCTAATGGAGATATTGCAACTGTAATTTTGGGTAAACTAAATCGTGTTGTTTTGAAAAACAAAGGCTGGAAACAATTACTGGACATTAATAATATACTGTGAGGCGTTTCATCAAACGAAATTCAATTTTTTTGGGATTGATTTAAACGAAACCTCTTGCATGAAGTATGCACTGCTCACTTCAGTAGAACGTTCGTTTTCTGTGTATAAAAACATTCTGTCAGACAATTAATAGTCAGTTTAACTACTGAAAATCTGAAAATACTTAATTCTTCTTTTAATTTAAATTAATATTTAAATTTTTTTTATAACTACCTAATTCATGTTAATTTTTGATCATGCTTTTTGCATTTGCCTTTAAAATAATATACAAGAAGCCCTCTATTAAATTTTCAAGCTTTTTTAACCAACTAATACATTTTTATTGATATTCATAAAAAAAAAACTAATAAAATTGGAAACTGAAAATGTCCCTAAACATTTCAAAATAAATCAAAATATTTTGAAAATGTTGTCGAGTATAGAAAATGCAAATATAAACAACCAGTGAAAATTTCACTTATCTACGGTCATAAAAACTTATGATTTCTGGCAATTAATTTTTGTCCCCCCACCAACCAAAATTCCTGAGCACGCCTCTGGTAATAACAATAATGAATACAATATAAAATATCCACGCTGACAAACCGTATCCGCTCAGAATTTTTTCAGTATCAATGATATTATATCATTGAATTCAAATTTGATAACATCCATTATAACTTCTTTTTTAAATGCTTATTTGCATTTTATTTTTT